AAGAATAAATGAGATAACCAAGGGCAAGCACATAGGAGTGAGCCCTGCACATGTCAAACATTGAATGAACACTTGCAATTATGCCTGAGGACCAAGCTGGGCTGTAACTTTGGTTCCAATTAGCTTATTTTATTTACTCCCATGCTAGAATGTGGGCTCCATGAGGGCAGGAACATTGCTGTTCTATTCACTATTGTATTCCCAGTACTTTGCATACTGCCTGGCAGATATATATGATCAAAACATAGGTGTTAAATTGAAAAAAACAAATGAAAGATTGTATGCAAGAATGAATGGAAGCTGCTTGGGGTGAAAGAGATGCTTCAGGAGAGGATTTGGAATTCATATTCCTTTCCACCAAGGGATCATCCTGCTACACCCAACACACCAAGCCCAAACCCACTGCGATGAATTGTTATTGTTGCTGTGTGCCTTCCAGTAGATTCCAACTCATAGTGACCCTGAACAGAGTTTCCAAGGATATACATCTTTACAGGAGCAGAAACCCTCATCTTTCTCCTGTGAATCAGCTGGTGGATTCAAACTGCTGACTTTGCAGTCAGCAGCCCAAAACATACCACACCACCAGGGCTCAATACCCACCGCCACTGAGTTAATTCTGACTCAGAGCAACCCTATATAGGGTTTTTGAGACTGTAAATCTTTACAGGACCAGATAGCCTCATCTTGCTCCTCAAGAGCTATTGGTGGGTTTGAACCACTAACCTTATGTTGTGGTCAGCACCACCAGGCATTGTCTCACTCCTCCCCAGGCCTGTCTCAGTTTCTCTGGGTTTGAGCGGTGGTATAATTAACTTCAGAGGTCACAGTCTTCCCTCAGTATAACTTATCATTGTTCACCAAAGACAGAGGCTAACAAGGACCTCTCTGTGAAATAGGTACTCATCGGTTACCACCCTTCCCATTTTATAAATGGAGAAACTGAGGATCAAGGAGTTGAAATAACCAGCTCAGAGTCAAAAAGACACAGACAGTAAGGGGCATCAAGACTGAAATCTATGTCTGTGGATTATAAAGTTCCTGTTTTCACAATGCCATAGATATATCGATATCAAGAAAGCAAGCACAAGAGTCGTTAGGATAATCTTTTTTTTTTTTGAGAGAGAAATTTTTATCACTGAAAATATTAAGGCTGGTGCTGAAGGTAAAGGTATCTTGACTTAGCTTCAGGGTGCCTGAGGGACTGGGTCAGATGGAACACAGAGGCCCTGTTCCAGCCCTTCCCTCTTCTAACTCTAAGCCCTTCTTTCCCTCAGATGCCTGACAGAGTCTTAGTGTGGTGGCAAACTGTCAGAAGTTCTTTAAAAATGCAGACTCCTGGGATTAACCTCAAATTAATCTCTGAGGGTGGAGCCCTGAAATCTGCTTAGTTGTGGTGCTATAGGATAAGCAGTGGACCACAAAGTCGGTTTGAACTATAAGGCTGGAGGTTCAAATCCACCAGCCACTCCTCAGGAACCCTATACAGGATCACTATGAGTCGGAACTGACTCGATGGCACTTAACAACATCAACAACAATGTTGAGAACCATGGTCTGGCCATCATATCCCTCCTCTACCTGGGCCTCCTGCCCTCTACTGGAGACCAGTCTCAGGCAGAGACCAGTTCTGCTTCAGGTTCTTCAGCATCCACAGTCCAGGCAGGACAGAGACAAGGCCTGAGCAGCATAGCGGAGAGCCAGGGACATCAGAGTCTGCGTCTGGTCCAGATGAGGACTAGCAAACCCTGGTGTGTGGGGAGGAGCTGGCTCATGAAACTGGGGAAGAACTTTTTCATTTTTTAAATTCACTACTCCCATAAGTCTTTGGAGTCCTTGTGTGGCACTGTAGGATAAGCACTGGACTGCAAAGTCAGTTTGAACTACAAGGCTGGAGGTTCAAGTTCACCAACCACTCCTCGGAAATCCTATATGTGGCCTCTATGAGTAGGCATTGACTCGATGACACTTAACATAACACACAATGTAAGTCCTCTGACTAGACTAAGCCAGAGCTCACAGAAAATGGACATCAGCATTTTCCCAGATACCAAGGAAGGAAGAAACTCAGGGTGTGAGACAAAGAAAGGAATTGCTTTTTCTCCAGAGAAGGAAAGAGTCAGCAAGGTGGTGGAAGGCAGAGGGAGAAATGGGTCAGATAAGTCCCCAGGGAAGAGAGGCTTTGGAGAAGGTGAGGCGGAAGTTGGGGTGGGAGCAAATCTGAAGAGGATAAAGGTGGAATAGGATGCACCAGAGAGGATGGGAGGGGATTGGGATAGAGATCCCAGAGATGATGTGGGAAGGAACAAAAGATGTGTTTGTGTTGTTTGCTGAGCAATGTATAAGAAGAGCTTTCCTGGCTCCTCCAGTTCTTCAGTCAAGTCTATTAAACCCATGAGAATTGGCTGTAAGTGAGTTTCATTGTAGAAGCTGAAGAAGGTTAGAGCTTCCAGTGGAAGATCAGAATGATACAGTCCCAAGGCTGCATTTAACAATCTGCTTGGGGTCTCAAAACACAAAATCCCTTGGGATTCAGAAACCACAGGCCTTTGAGCTTCTACAGGCCACAGAATGGAAAGGGGTCAAGCAGATGTTTCCTAGTCTTACAGGGTAGGGAGGCCTCCAGCCAATAACTATCAACCTAGAAACTGAAAAGTAAGAAGCAAAAAGAAAAGTGTGGTTTGGCTCTATAAATGCGATACTGATTACAGCCATTTGTGCAAACTGCTTTCCATTAATACTTAACTGCTTACCATGCAGTATAATAACAATTACACATTGCACAAACTACACATCAGATTAGCTGAGTTTTATTTGCCTCCGTGTGGACCAGTCTTCCTCTATATCCAGGCTGTCTGTGGAGGAATACAGTGGCTTTAGCCAACTTAAAAAACAAAACAAAAACAGGGGGCACTACTCAGCACATGGAGTCCTGGTGTGGCACTGTAGGATAAGCACTGGACCACAAGGTTGGTTTGAACTGCAAGGTTGGCAGTTCAAACCCACTAGCCATTCCTTGGAAACCCTATACAAGGTCGCTATGAGTGGAATCGACTCAACAGCACTTAACAACAATACTTAACACATAGGTAACTCTGTCCTTTAAGAGGCAGAATGCCTAGTGCTGGCTCAAATATTACTATAGTGCCTAGTCTTTGAGACTTGACCCCCCAAAACAGAGAGAGCAAGAAAGAGAATGTGACTTCTATTAACATTTTATATCTGCTTACCCTTTTTATAAGAGACCTATAAAAAGAGTTCTTCCCCAAAGCACCTAAATCCCTGCACAGCTCTAAAACTGAGCTTGATTCATCATTGCAAGCCGATGTTAAGAACTTATCTTATATCTGTGCTTCAGAGAAGAGATTAAAGTATGGAAGTAATTCCACAGGGTACAGTTAATCAAAGGAGTTCAGGTGACAAAATAGTTAAGTGCTTGGCTGCCAACCAAAAGATTGGCGGTTCAAACCCACCCAGCTGCTCTTCAGAAGAAAGACCTAGTCATCTCCTGAAAAGACTGTTGTTGCTATGTGCTGTTGAGTTGGTTCCGACTCATAGCAACCTTGTATAAGGTTTCCAAGAAGAGGCTGGTGGGTCTAAACTGCCAACCCTGCAGTTACTAGTTCAGTGTTTATCCTGTGGCACCTCACCAGGGTTCCCCAAAAAGATTACAGCCAAGAACACCCTATGGGTGCAGTTCTACTGTATCACATGGAGTTGCTATGAATCAAAAACATCTCAATGGCACTCTATAACAACAGGTATTAAAGGCAGTGGATGGAAAGCAGTTCAGTTCCCCTTAAAGAATAATCTTGAACGCAAAGGGCACCAGCCCACACACTGAGGCAGGCAATCTCTGAGAAGATGTCTCCAATGACCTTTGAAACTCTTCCTAATGGCCTGCTATGCACCCAGCACTGGCCTAGGGGCTGAGCACACAGCACACAAGTCACAAATCATTGTTTCTGTCCTCACAAAGACTCCAAATGGGCTGGGTGAGAGGGATTAGATAAAGAAAATGGACCTAGATGAAAGGAGGAACCCGTTCTTGGAGAAGGACATCGTGCTTGGTAAAATAGAGGGTCAATGAGAAAGAGAAAGACCCTCCATTTGATGGATGGTCACAGTGGCTGCAGCAATGGGCTCAAACACAGCAGTGACTGAGAGGAAAACAACAGTTCATTCTGTTGGACATAAGGTTGACATGAGTCAGAACTGACTGGACAGCACTTAACAACCACAGCAGCAGATAAAAGAAGAAAGAGCAAGAGAGAAGAGTAAACCAGTACAGACACATCAGCAAAGCAGTCTTACTTCTGCAAGTCATCTGATCCGAGTTGAGGATGTATCCTTGTTTACACCTGCAGACGTATGAGCCGGGGGTGTTGATACAGAAGTGGGCACAGTTATGCTTCATGACGCTGCACATGTGGACCGCTGAAAAAGAAGACACAGGAGGTTAAATATACAGGGACAGGGACACTAGCTCTAAATTCATTCCACCCAGCAAATATTTATTCAGAGAGTCCTGGTGTGGCACTGTAAGGAAAGTACTGGACCGCAGGTTGGCTTGAACCTCAAGCTTGGTGGTTCAAACTCATCAGCCACTCCTCGGAAACCCTATACAGGAACCGACTTGATGGCACTTAACAATTACAACAACTCTGTGGAGCAAGGTTTAGGGGTGGGAATTTGCAATCGGTTAGTCACTTAAAGGAGTCCTGGTGTGGCGCTATAGGCTTGAACCACAAGGTCAGTGGTTCAAACTTACCAGTCACTCCTAGGAAATCCAATACAGGGTCACTGTGAGTCAGAACCGACTCAATGGCACTTAACAACAGTCACTTAAAGGAGTCCTGGTGTGGCGCTATAGGCTTGAACCACTAGGTCAGTGGTTCAAACTTACCAGTCACTCCTGGGAAACCCAATACAGGGTCACTATGAGTCAACAACAGTTACTTAAAGGAGTGCTGGTGGCACCATGGGTTAAGCACTGGGCTGTTAATTACAAGGTTGGCAGTTCAATCCTACCAGCTGCTCCACGGGAGAAAGATGAGGCTGTCTGCTCCTGTAAAGACTGACCATCTTGAAACCCTAAGGAACAGTTATAAAGGATCACTATGAGTTGGAATGGACTTGACAGCAGTGGGGTTTTGGTTTAGTCACTTAACAGTAGATGGTTCAAACACACCCAGTGGCACCACAGAAGAAAATCTTGGTGATCTGTTTCCGTCACAATTACAGCCAAGAGAACCCTATAGAGGATCATCGATCCACTCTAACACATAGGGTCATAATCAATTCAGTGGCACTGAACAACAACAACTCTGTGGAGGAGAAGGCAGGGCCCAAAGAGAAACAAGAGACTGTCCCCACCCTTAAAGGGCTTTCAAGTCCATGGATGGAAAAGACCCTTCCATGTGTATGCTTCCAGCAGGATACAGATAATGGGTTTTGTGGGTTCAAAGACAAAGGGTGTTAGGCTGAACCATATAAATTACAAACACTCCAATAGAAATTTTACATGGTTCAGCCTAGTAATAAGTATTTGGTGAAGCAAGGGGATCAGAGAGTCAGTTGACATCAGAGGGAGATTTAAATAAAGTGTGCATCTTCAAAATGGAGCAAGAGCTAGTAAACAAGATTGCATTAAGCAATCAACAATTTCTCAGGAATAAGAATCCTAAGAGTAATGTAATTTTTAATATGTAAAAGTGTGCAAACATTTTTAAAGTGGGAAAATGCACTCATATATTTCATGTTTCCTTGACCTTTCTCTCTCAATTCAAATTATTCCTGCATTTATTTTCTGAAGTATGTGTACCTCCACTTTCAGATGCTTCTATTCTTGAGTAAGTCTGCCTGGAGCGCATAAAAATTCTTATTAGTTTTTCTTTTAGCATATTAATTTATGACTTTACTCAACATAGCACAATTAGAGCATATTTAAAATTAATACCATCAGTACAGAGTACAAGTTATGTAAGTGTTCTCATAAACACAAAAGATGTCTATATGTGGAAACATAGTTCTACGACACCAAAATAAAAGGGGTTCTCAAAGGCTAAGAGCAATCCCATTAATTCAGTGCTTAGAAAAGCTCAGCAACTGGGGAGATCGATTGTTGCCTGTACAGGGTTTCCAAGGCTGTAAATCTTTACGGGAGCAGATCGCCTCATCTTTCTCCCACGGAGTGGCTGGTAGTTTCGAACTGCTGGCCTTAAGGTTCACAGCCCGATTTGTAACCACTACGCTACCAGAGCTCCGATAGCATGTGTTATATGCATGTCTCTTCACTTCTCAGAAACATGGTGGACAATAAATGGATGAGAGGAGTAAGACTTCATTTCATGACAATACAATTTAGACAGTATTATTCTGACTTTTATGATTGTATGTGTTTTAACTTCTCTAGCGATACAAGTTATTGGTGTTGTTAAGTGCTGTCCAGTCGGCTCTCACTCATAGCAACCCTATATAGGGTTTCCAAGCAGGAGCTGATTAGTTTGAACCGCAGACCTTTCGGTTCAAAGGACTTTTGATCCAGTATTTATTCACTGAAGAAATCCATCCATTTTCAGATGTAATGAATATGTTTGTATTGCTGTTGTTAGGTGCCATTGAGTAGTACGGATTCACAGCAACCTTACTCACAACAGAACAAAACACTGGCCAATTTGTGTGGCAATTTCTTTAATCTCTTTTTATAAAATGGGGGGGGGGTGTAAAAACAGTACCTACTTCATAAAGGCCTTGTGAGTATTCAGTTAAGAGGTAAAGATCTTTGCTGGATCCACTGAGATTGGAGGAATCCTCTCCCCCTCTGCTTCGCCCTAGACTATTACCCTAAGATACTTCTTAAAATTTCAGCCAAAACTACTCCATGCCAAAACTACTCCATGAAATCATTTTTTAACTAAATAGTAAGTTAGCTCAAAAAACAAAGAATGTCACCCTTGAGTACTGCACTTTTTCAAAAAACTCATCTAGATGAGACCAAATGGACAACAGTTACTCTAAAGAAAAGATGAGAAGACTGGGGGCCTGAGACTAAGTTAATGGGAACAGAACTATTAGTTAACACTGAGAATGCTGACAGAACGTGAAGACTGCAATCAGTGTCAATGAATATTAGATGCAGAAATTGTTGAATGGGATTCGGCTTTG